GTGGCCTCGCTTAGCCTTCTCACGGTCGGCAACCCCTTAACCACCATTGTCAGACGGCCGGGACTACAGTTGCAGTAGGGGAGAACAGCCAACAGGCTACGGTCGATCTCCCCATTCTCTTGTTCCCCTAAGAGGCTGCCTAGTCAGACACGAACGCGATTCCGATAGACGTTGTTTAAGGTCTTTGGGTCTACCCCTCCGCTCTCCTCTCCCTACGGTCGGATCGGCTGGCACCCTACTGCTACACCTTCTCCTCCCCCCGGTTATCGCCCACGGCCGGCTGGTCTCCTCCTTCCCTCCATGGTATTGCACTGCCTCCTTGGAGTGGGTCTGGGGGGGGGCCCCCTATCTTAGCGCGCTTCGTGCGTCGCTTCCCGCTTGAATGAGTGGACTCGCCCTTCGGGGCCTACGTGGCTTGCTACTAACCTTTCTTTTGTCTTTTTGGGATTTCTCAGTGGGTTTTCCTGGCGCTTCCTGCTTTCTTCTTAGTTAGGATTTCCTTGTTCGTCCATCTAGCCGGGCTTGGGCTTCTTTTCTTTGAGGCGAGATGTGCGGTTGGCTCCATACCAGAGGGGCTTGGGAGGTTGGCTTTTTCCTGTGGCGAGAGGAGGGATATGGGTTTTTTGTCATCATAGCTAGCGCTCCATACGTTTTTTGTACCCTAAACAAATAATCAATGAGTTAAACAAAAAAAAAAAAACAAATCCCTAGCATTAAGTCTACCATCAGCGACCGGAGAAGAGATCTTATCAATATATTCGTTCTACTTTACTTCTATCTTTACGAGCCTTCTTGACTATCTCCGAGACAGAAGATTACAGGGCCTAGTGTATACTCGCTTGACTTTAGAGTTACCTACCCCCTTAACAGATTCTGAGAAGTCCACAGCGCCAGGACCATTTTGCTACGACCATTAAACAACAGCTTCCTAATTCTACGGTTCTGGTACCTCTTGTTGGAAATACTACCAGATGGCACAGCGACTCAGATGCTTTGGAGCAAGCCTTTTTACTTTGTACCCCTCTTGATGGATTTGTAGCTCTAGCTACAAAGGAGGAACGACAGCACAGTGGTAGCCGCAGGAAGGCAAAGGGAAGGGATAGTGATAAGGATACTGAGCACGATCCGGAATGTGTTTCTACAGATGAACTAACCTTAGATGACTGGGAAGACTTGAAGATTATCAGCACTATTCTTGCACGATTTAAGCGAGTTAGTTTATACTTGCAGGGCATGAGTACTAACCGTAATCGGGCCAATGGATACCTCTCCCAAGTTCTTCCCACAATGGATGAGTTATTAACTCATCTTGAAGATGCGAAAACCCGCTATTCCGATCCGAACATCTTCAGTACTCATATTGCAACCTCAATTAATCATGCCTGGGAAATTTTAGATAAGTAAGAAGTCTAGTATGAGTCAAATATTTTAATACAGATTCCACTAATACCGAATATCTAGATACTACCAACTTGCCGATATTTCCAAAGTTCTCTATGCTGCCATGGCACTGGACCCTGAAATGCGCCTACAGTATTTTGAATCTGAGTGGAAAGATCGGCCGGAATAGATATTGCTAGCAAAAGAGAAGTCAAAAGGCTTGTGGAAGGATGACTATGCTGCTAGTAGTCGGACTAGGGATATTGGAGCAAGTAAAGTTTCTAGTGAAGTGGAAGAAACTACAGCAAGTAGTGTAGTAGGTAAATATTGCTATAATTACTAGAAAACATCCCAAGAAATGCAATATAGCTAACGGGTTCATAATAGCTACTACAAAGGATTATTCAGAATGTAATCTCCCATTATGGAAACAAAAGCGACAAGCAAGAAGTACTATTCCTGTGGGGGACCAATTTGATCGCTTTCAGAGCTTAGAAATAGAGGATGTTGATATTCCTGACATCCTTCACTATTGGATTGAAAAGGAGAAAAGTCCTTGGTGGTCTGAGATTGCTGTCGTGGCGGTCACTATTCATAGTATTCCAGCAATGTCAGCGGAAGTTGAACGAGTATTTAGTAGGTAAGTACTGCGGCTATTCATCTTGGAAAGAAATTAATTCGAGATACTTATATTACTTGCTATAATAGTTCACGGATTCTAATCTCAGATCGGCGAAACCGCCTTGGTGACAATGCTATTGAGGCAGTAGAATGTTTAAAGTCATGGGGGAAAGCAGGATTGCTAGATACAGTTGAACTAGATTGTATAGAGGAAATGCTGGAAGGATTATAGAAATGGTACACTATGGATGCTCGATTATTTGGAATAGGAAACTATCTTTATTAAAAAGTATGGGTGATGCTAGATATGTGTGCAATATTGTTTACTTATTTATATAACATCGCTGGATTCCCAGGCAAAGCTGCCAGATGCCCAGATAAAGCCGCCAGATGCCCAGGTAAAGCCGCCAGATGCCCAGGTAAAGCCGCCAGATGCCCAGGCAAAGCTGCCAGATGCCCAGGTAAAGCCGCCAGATGCCCAGGCCAGGCCAGGCTTCTGCTTTGAAAAGCCGCTTTTCCACAGTCCGGCCCGGCCATCCGTGAAAAAGCCTGGGTCAGTCCGGCCGTACCCAAAGCCGGACGGACTGGCCGCTTGGGATCACTGAGCAACACCAACCGGCGCCACAGCCAGCACGACACCAATAGACCTAGGAGAAGCCCCGGGAACGGGAACGTCTACCGGAGCAGTAATACCGCCGGGTGCAGCAACAACTAGCAGCAAGCAGCGCAACATCCGCTCCACCCACAGAGATGGGGCCAGGTCCTTCCATGGGCACGCCAACTTGCACAGAGGACTACATGGCGGCGGCTAGAATCGAAGCGGCAAATGAGATCGCGGTGGGTCATCAGAACGACTGTGTACAGAAGAAGGTATCATCGCTGCATCCTTCCGACTGCCGGTGCAGATCTGAGGTCCTGGTATAATGTTTTTCGCAAGATGCTGCTGGCTTCATGGTTGCGTATGGAGCGGCCGTTGTTTCCGGGGCTGCCAATGGAAGTATTGGATTGAGGAGAGCGGAAAAGAGGTGGGGGAGTTTTCCCCCAATAACTTCTCCAAGTGATTTCTCCTACCGTAGTATGCGAGGATGAGAGGGTGTGAATGTTAGCATGAGAGAGGCTCCTTAAGGATAATTTAAGAAGTTGGACTATAAGCTAGTGATGCATGGGCCACTTAACACGCGATCGTTGAGAGGCAGCGTTTTTCCCAAGAGCCACAAGCTCATCGGGGGAGTAACGGTTGACAGGAACCAAACACTATCTCTACGACCATCGGCAGACTGCCTACAAGCCGACCACAGCTTCACACTCCCTCAATACTCGCATCAGCTATCATTGCATCCCCATGTGAATATATTCCCTGGCAAATAAAGATTCCATCAACATTATGTGTTAACTGCACCGTTTTCCGAGAATCCAATAAATTCGACAGACTAGATATACAGACAGCTCACGTAAACACAGTACAGTAACGCCGTGATTCCCTTTATCCCACCCATCTGCCCACCGATACCACACTACCTAAGAGTAAAGAAACCCAAGCGGCTAATAACGCGTCAACCGCGATGAACGCATCGCACGAGTGGCCCCAAACGCATACCTACTTCGCCCTCCGCCTTGGCCTCTGGGCCTGGCCAGTGGTTCCCGAGCCCACATCAGATTTAATCAAAAACTCGTCTGTGTCAGTATTCAGTTTTCCCCTAAGAACACTAAGAGCGACGATTCCAGCAGAAAAGACCGCCCATCCGGACTTTTCCAAAGCACTGACTTCACTGTCCCCTTTCTCGCTCCCAAGAACTAACGTCTGCTCCTCGCCCTTCTTTGCACCCCTAGGCGCCTTCTTCGCAATATTTCCGGCGCCTGCGGCCTTCAGCATCTCTACCAGGCTCTCCTCCTGTTTCCCAGCCTTGAGCTGGGAGACCAGAGCCAAGGTAATATTAACATTCCAGCCCTTAAGAACAGAGTTCCCGCCCTGTCGACCTCTTTTAACGGCGGCAGCTAAATTGAAGCCCCATTCCTTCTCGTGAAGTGGATCATTCGGTATATACGGGTCGGGATCTTCGTTCATTAGTACCCAATCGATGAGGACGACCAAATAAGTAGAACATACCCAAAAAATACCCAATCTCCTTGCTATCCATCAACCATTGATCCTCAACCACAGTTTTGCCCAAAGCAACACCGATTGTCAGTTTAGGCGTCCTCTTCAACTCACCAGGGCCAACTACCAGAAAGTTAACACCTGGAGCGCTGACGTTATCTATTTTCTTAGCAGCGGCAGCGCGAAGGAACTTTTCAATATCCTGGGACAATAGGATAACCACGTTAGCAGCATACTTTACGTATTACCGTCGGCACGGGGTCAAGTACCTTCTTGCCGTCGAGGCCGCTGTTGCTAAACACAATCCTAGGGGCATCTCCCTCATACCTCTCGCGAGTTCTAACAATAATACCCTCTCCTTGGCTCAAATCTTGCTCGCCATTTAGGCTGACCTCCTCGCTTGTGTTCCTCGAGCTGGCTCCTCTCCTTCTAAGAGGCGTTTTCTTCGATTTTGCCGCACTCTTGGCTATTGATTTCGGGGTCTTGATTTCAACTCTGTCCAAAGTTTGTGTTTGTGTTTGCGTATCTGAGGGGACCGTGTACTGAGTATCGCCGTCTTGTTTTTGTGGAATCTCTGTCGGGGGTGAAGCCGCTAATGACTTTCTAGTTCTTACTCCTTTTCTCGTAGCAGGTTTTCCAGCACGCTTTGGCATTGGCATTACAGCCTCAGGCTCTTCCGTAATCTCCCGTGATGATTGACCCATGCCCGGGGTCCCTGCGCGTTCTTGGGACTCCCGATGTCCCACAACTATTGGCAATTCATCGGGCGGAACACCGACACTTACTTCCTCGTCTGATAGCTTCTTCCGGCCTTTGCGCTTCGGCACTTTCGCAGTTGAAGTCAGCTCAGCCTCCTTCTCTTCAACAGGAGGCTCCTCGGCTTGCGGTTCCTGGGGCTGTTGCTGGACCCGGTCCTCTTCCTTCTGTAGAGGAGACTCGGGAATGGCCCCTTGAACTTCAGCCCCCGAATCTTCAGGCTGGCTATACACGATTTTTCGGCCTCTTAATCCTCTGCGGGCCGGGGTAATAATTGCCTCATTTCCGACAGCCCCCTTCATAGGGGTATCTCGAAGTTCGGACCCTGCTTTCCTTCGCTTGTTTCCGCCCTTCCCAGACGTATCCTTCTTACGCCCTTCGTCTTTGCCAGCAGCAGCTTCACTTGGCGACTCGAGCGCCTTCCTCTTCTTTTGACGCAGAGGTGTAGACACACTCCCACCAGTGCTTCCATCGGGCCGATCCGCATGCCCCCGATCTTCGGGACTCTTCTCCAGGGACTTCTTGGCGCTAAGAGGCGACTTTGCGGGCTTCTTCTTACTATAAGTGCGGCCTGGTGTAGCAGACTTCATATGCTCTTCGTAGAGAAAGGCCTCAGGAAGAGATTCGGTTGTCTTTGCAGTATGAATACGGTGCTCCTTTTCACTCGCCCTTCCGGCTATTTCTGCATCATCGTCCGCCAAAGGTTTCCCTGCATCAGAGGCAGTTGTGGATTCAAGCGAGGAAGGCGATTGATGCCGATTCTCCTTCTCACCATCAGGTTCCCCCAGGGACGTGAGGTTACTGAAAGCAGAACCCATTGCTGCAACACCCTGTTCTCTAGAAATCCCTTTTCCGGGCCTTGCGACAAGAGTGTCAAGTTCTAGTGAGGTTAGCTCGGGTTGCTTTCCCTTAGGTCTTGGAACAAGGTATCGCGGAGCTTCATTTTCTTCCTCAGATGTGCTTAGCTCACGGTCAGCAAAAACAGGGGATTGTGACGTCACTCCTTCACCCGCCTTTCCATCATAACCGGCGAAAACCAAGCCGGACTCTGGAAGCGTGGTCATTAATTTTTCTCCAGCAGATCGATTTCCAGGCGGCAAAAGGTCGTTACCCATGCTCGCATACGATTCTTGTGCTTTTGGAGTACGACCAGAGCTCATTGGGCTGAAGAATCGAGATTTCACAGGTGTTTCAACAACAATAGTTTCCTCAGGATTAGTCTCGGGAATTACTGGTGTGGAATCTCTATAGCCAATGCCATGGTGAACTGTGGTAGCCATAGGGTCTTGCATACTCTGTACAACTTGGATGTGAGGGTCATCATCGATTCCCATAGAGATGTCACCCTCGTTGTCAATCCGATCCGCCGAGCTTTTTAGGGCGGGCCTCGCGGTGGACATCGACGAATCGCCCAAATCCAACTGAATCTTTTCCCCGTCGATGCACAAAAAGCAGCTGTAGTCTAATAGCACCAACATATGCTCTTTGGGAGGATGCGAAAGCGGAATACGCCGTTTAACAGGGGATGTGGGGTCCCGGGTTATATACGAGGCCCCATTTGGAGAATAGATTGCCTCAACGAAAACATCAGAATCCTCGATATCTAAAATTTCGGAAGGATAAATCAGCCGAACCAATCTAGATGCACCAATGGGGGAAGGAACTATACGGATAGCAGCCAAAACCACCGGTCTATCATATCCAGAAGACTCATCGTCCACAGTATCAATCTGTAAGCTCTGATTTCCGTCCCGATAAACAAAGAAAGACCGCCGTTTCCCACCTCCATTACTGACCAGAGACACCCAGGAGGATGGGGATTCAGGATCGGCAAAGTTAAGTCGAATTCTCAGCGAGGAGCTCATGATTCGAGACTCATAGGAGATAAATACGGATCAGAGAAGCCGGAGGGGATTGAAGATGTCCGAATGATTGGCTTTTGCTGTGTTGGACAAAGAAAGAAGCTGGAGGGGGAAACGAGTCTGGCATAAGTTAGGTTATTGGAAACAAGAAATTCGCGACAAGCCCGGTCTTGGCAATTTTTAGTGGTGCCACCCAACTTTCCAATACATTAAGTATCTGGACGCCTAGGTATTTATTAATAGCCATTCTGGCGCCAAGTGTCCGGATACTTTATAAATTGACAAGTAATACCTTGCTTTGGCTCGCGTCGCGTCACTCGCGAGCACATTCACACGCGTAAAATACATTTTATGTTGTATCATATCATAGCCTGTCATAATACCGGCAGATTACCCGGCCAACCCAATTTAGAGTTACCCTGCCTTCATCGCTTACCAAAAGTGATCTCCAAGCTTCTACTCGTTTCCCACCGGCATCCTAGTCTATCCTCCTAGACAAACGAGGCTTCTGTTCGCATTCATCGCCACCACCAAACCGACAACCTCACAATCTCCCCTCCCTTCCACAATCCATACACTCTTTGGCACCAGGTAGCGAATATGGCCAACTACCTTGCCTCCATCTTTGGCACCGAGCAGGACAAAGTTAACTGTGAGTGTCCATCGCGTCCTTTGGCTTAGCCCCACCGAAATTTGCTAACAGCTCTATTACCACCAGGTTCGTTCTATTACAAGATTGGTGCTTGTCGCCATGGCGATCGCTGCTCACGCAAACACGTTAAGCCCTCGTATTCTCAGACAATTTTGCTTCCAAATCTCTACCAAAACCCGGCATTCGACCCAAAGAACAAGATGAATCCCTCACAACTACAGAACCATTTCGACGCTTTCTACGAAGACTTTTTCTGCGAAATGTGCAAGTACGGTGAGGTCGAGGAGGTTGTTGTGTGCGATAACAACAATGATCGTATGTGATTGACGCCCCGGTATCAGATGGTGATGCTAACAATGGGAAACAGATTTGATCGGCAATGTCTACGCTCGGTTCAAGTACGAAGAGGATGCTCAGACTGCCTGTGATGCTCTAAATGCAAGATGGTACGCCGCCCGTCCAATCTATTGTGAGCTATCGCCCGTCACAGATTTTAGGGAAGCTTGCTGCAGGTTGAACAGTGGCGAAGGTTGTGTCAGAGGTGGCTTTTGCAACTTCATTCATAGGAAGGAACCAAGCAAAGACCTAGAGCGTGAGCTGGAACTCGGGATGAAGAAATGGTTGCGCGCGAGAGGCAGAGATAGGCGCAGCGTATCGCGCAGTGTTTCCCCCAACGGAGAATCCAGAAGACGCAAGGAGGCTTAAATCACCTGCTCAGAATCCCCCCCCCCCCCGGAATACCTTGACCGCCTGCCTAGCTTTCTTGCCGTAAGAGCGGATATGTACCATAACTATCTTTAGCTGCTTAACACCCGTGATCCTGTCCCATTATCCTCGACCCATGGCTATCTTTTGAACCCAAACGCTCTCAATTCAAACAACCCCCCGTTCAAGATGACCCTTTTGTTTCGTCCTTCTCCTTTTTCCGGTGTTAAAATGCACCATTGCATCAATGAACTATTTTATGCACCGTTCCCTTTTCAAGCTTTCCCTTCCATCATATCTAGTCTAAGAGTATCCGCTGCAATACTCGACCACGTCTTGTGCTCTCCCCCAGACATGCTATAATGTACTGTTTTCCTTAGTATCGTTGCCGTTAGTGACCACCGAACAAGACCCAATCATAGCTTCTAATTCATTCTTTACGACCCAAAACACCCCTAGGCCTTTGAAATAGTAAGCCACACGGCACTCCTATCATACATTAAGTTAAGCATGTTGATAAGTGCCACCCAAGACAAGCAGAACCCTTTGTTTCTCAGCCCAACACCGCTACGGCATAAACCCTATTCCTCAAATGTTCGCGCGGTGAAAAGTGTTTTAAGTGTGTTGAATCTATTCCGATATTATGATACAGTATGATACCTAACACCTACCAACCACTCCCTATCAACAGCATCCTTCCCGAAAATGGGCGAATATAACCAGAACTCCCAACAAGTCATTATCAACCCAACCAATCTATGAGACCGCCATCACGACAACACGTGACCCGCAGAGCCACACCTCAACCCGTCGCACCCATCCACAAAAGTTTCCAACGCCTCAACATCCAACCCAGGCACCTGGAACCCATCTAATTGACCAATCCACCACCACCATTACACAAGAGAATGTCAAAAAGACCGGCAGAAGAAACAGTGGAGGCACTGGAAGCCCAACAACAAAGTACGGGCCCGCAAACTCCAAAGCGTGCGCGCGTTGAGGAGGTTATTGACCAAGAGTTTATGGAGAAAGGCTCGTGGAGGAATGGTATGATATTGGAAGCTTCGCGGCCGAGGGCACCGGCCCTCGCTACCGATACGGACGAAGATAGGGACGAAGAGGGCGATGTGGCGGTGGGACAGCTTGGGGTCGGGAAAGCGCAGGAGGGGCCCTCGGAGGGGTTCTCGGATTTGTACTTGGATACCATTAATCGGTATGGTGAACCCTCTATCAGTGCAAGTCCGTACGCCTGATTTATCGCTGACATTAATCTCACAGAGTTCTGTTAGATTTCGGTAAGTAACCAATTCCGAACCCTGGGTGGGAGGCTACTAACTAGGGTAGACTTCGAGAAGCTATGCTCCGTATCCCTTTCCAATATCAACGTCTACGCTTGCCTAGTGTGTGGCAAATATTTTCAAGGCCGTGGTCGCTCGTCACACGCCTATACACACTCCTTGGACCAAGATCACCACGTCTTCATCAACATTGCCAGTTTGAAAGTGTATGTTTTACCCGAGAGCTACGAAGTCCAGAACAAGACGTTAGAGGACATCAAGTATGTTGTAAACCCAACATACACCAAGGCGGCCGTAATGAAGCTTGACAAGGAGCCATTGATACGGTGGGATCTAGGAGGGAAAAAGTACATTCCCGGTTAGTTCAAGTATGTCTCGTTGGCGATGCACCGGTGAGCTAACTTTAACCTCCATCACAGGTTTTGTAGGGTTGAACAACATCAAACAGAATGATTACATGAACGTTGTGGTGCACGCTCTTGCACACGTAGCTCCTCTTAGGGACTATTTCATGCTAGAGGATTTATCGGCAAGGCCAGAACTAGGTACGCTACCCTCGCCTCAACCACGTTCAGGATACTAACGACCAATCCCCAGCTCAGCGGTTCTCCATCCTGGTTAGAAAGATCTGGAACCCCCGCGCTTTCAAATCCCATGTTTCTCCCCACGAGCTTCTTCAGGAAATTTCTCTCCGTTCTTCCAAAAGGTTCACCCTGACTACCCAATCCGACCCAGTAGACTTTCACTCCTGGTTCATAAACAATCTTCATCTCTCACTCGGTGGCTCGAAAACGAGGCCGGGGACAAGCATCATACAAAGGGTTTTCCAAGGAAAGCTAAAAGTCGAATCACAGACCATTACTGCTAGAGCGGATGCTTCTGATAGATTACGATTCGAAGAAGCAGCTGAAATTAAGACGGATATTGTAAGGTTCATGATGTTAACCCTGGATTTACCGCCAAAACCGATCTTCAAGGACGAGCAGGACAAGAATATCATCCCTCAGGTCTGATTACCTACTTACTCACCGTTGGAGTCGCCCTGCTGACCCAGCTCTAGGTCCCCTTGACAACCATCCTGTCAAAGTACGACGGCCTGCACTCCCAGGAGCTCCTCGGACAGCGTAAACGCTACCGCCTCCTCTCCCCCCTCCCCCCCTTCCTAATATTCCACATCAAACGCTTTAGCAAGAACAAATTTGTAGAAGAGCGCAATCCCACCATCGTTACTTTCCCCACAAGATCACTAGACATGTCACCCTACGTCCAGCCTTCGGATGGCGGTTCCTCAGCGGAGCCAATCTGGTACGATCTAGTCGCCAACATCACGCATGAGAGTGTCACCACCACATCAGGAAAGAAAGAGGGCGACATCAGGAGTGTCTATAAGGTGCAGTTGGTAAATAAGGCTAGCGGAGAGTGGTTCCAGATTCAGGATTTGTTTGTAGAGGAGGTTGCCAGAGAACTACTATTTACGAGCGAGTCGTATGTTCAGATTTGGCAGATGAGGAGGGAGCCGAAGGGCAAGGGGTCGGAGGGGTAGTAGCCTAATGAATATGCTTGGTGGTTTGCTAATGCTCTTTGAGAAATGTTTTGTCGCCACAGGCAGCATGAAAAAGTTGTTGCTTTGAACGACAGCTGTGACATGCTGTATCGTATGGAGTCGAGCTAAAGCTACAGCATCCACAATACAGTGTGCCCGGGGCGCGTTTAACCACCAGCTATTCTAAGGGAATCATAAGCCACGAGGGTAGGATAGGCAGACAGTACCGTATGGCCATATAAAAATGGCTTTATGTCGCCGAGCCCAGATGCCACCGAAATATAAGCTACTCGTAGTTCCCAATACGGTACTCGTGCGGTGCACACCTTATCATCAATGTAAAGCTAAAAATAAAAAAAAATGATTGCCCACATTATATAACACATTCTTCTATCCTGTGTTTGAGTTTATTGTGATTTTGACCGCTCGGCATTTCACCCCGTAGGCAAGAAGAAATTCTCCACACAATCTACTCGAGTACTGTACAGCACCGTCAACCCTCCAACTGCGCCACCTTACGCCAATTCCCATGATTCAAGTAGAATAGCCTGCGATCTCGTTTAGGGCAGAGTTAGGCTGTCGACTATCGCTACTGGATGGATATCATACTCGTATCATACCCGAGTACTTGCGCGGTGTTGGAACGGGTAACGTCCAACACTAGGCTCCGATCAACTAATATGATCTAATCTTATCTTATCTGCACTACGGGGCTGCGCTTTTGTGACTATTTCGCTGCCCTAACATGAATAAATCGCCAAGGCCACACAAAAACAGAAATTCAAACTCCCTCCCACACTACGAAAATCCCCGCGCCAACAACCACCTAATTCCCGACGCCCACGACAAACTCAATCCTCACCCTTCACCGACCTTCGACAACCTCTCCTTTCCCAAACCCCCCCCCCAATAAAAATATCATGGCTGAAGCTGCCTCTGCCGGAGGTGCCCGCGGTGGATTTGGAGCTCGTGGAGGAGACCGTGGACGTGGCCGTGGACGTCGTGGTCCTCGCCGTGGAGCCAAGAGTGAGGAGAAGGAATGGAAGCCAGTTACCAAGCTTGGGCGCCTCGTAAATAATGGAAAGATTGCGAGCATGGAGGAGATCTACCTCCACTCTCTGCCAATCAAGGAGTACCAGATTGTCGACTTCTTCTTGCCCAAATTGAAGGATGAGGTTATGAAGGTAATATTCATTAAAGCTGCGATATAAAGTGCAATTCGCGAGAATGGGAACTAATGCGTTTGGTTTGGGGTAAAAACAGATCAAACCTGTCCAGAAGCAAACTCGTGCTGGTCAGCGTACCCGTTTCAAGGCTATCGTTGTTATTGGTGATAGCGAGGGACATGTCGGTCTCGGAATCAAGACCTCCAAGGAGGTCGCTACTGCTATCCGTGCCGCCATCACCATTGCCAAGCTCTCCGTTCTCCCCATCCGTCGTGGATACTGGGGCACCTCTCTCGGGGAGCCGCACTCCCTTGCTGCTAAGGAGTCTGGAAAGTGTGGCTCCGTTACCGTAAGAGTATGCTTCCCTCTACTTCCTGTCTAGTTACACAAGCATCTCACATAGAACAACAACAGTTGATTCCTGCTCCCCGTGGAACTGGTCTCGTCGCCTCCCCCGCCGTCAAGCGTCTTCTCCAGCTCGCTGGTGTCCAGGATGTCTACACCGCCTCCTCTGGATCCACCAAGACCCTTGAGAACACCCTCAAGGCTACCTTTTCCGCGGTCGGAAACACCTACGCTTTCCTCACACCCAACCTCTGGAAGGAGACTAAGCTGCTGAGGAGCCCTCTAGAGGAGTTCGGTGACCACTTGAAGATGAAGGAGAGGTATTAATTGTTCTTAAAAAATGGGAATGGGGAGTTTCGATCCTTTGTCACTGTAAGGTTGGGGATATTTGAAAAAAAAAAAAAAAAAATCTAAACAACCTGTCGTTTTTCCCTTTCTTTCATCCATTTCTCTTTTCCTATGGGACTACGGTGTAAATGAAAAACAAAAATTTGCTAATACCGGAAACCTGGCACATTTTATGTTGCCAGTTTGAACTGACCGTGCCCGCATACTTCTACCCGCCATCTTGATAACCGCTTTGCTCAATCACATGCGACTACTAGTACTACTGCCCAGCTTGGAGAAAAACGGCCTACAATGCACCACTATCAATCCTCACAGGATCGTAGAAGACCCAAGCCACCCAACCTTCTCCCAGCTCTCAGAGCTTTAGTAGAGGGGGAAGTGTTGACCGCGCGTTACCGAACCGGAAGGCATTCAGATTCGAAACGTGTCAATAAACGGTTACTACAAGGATTGATGTGATCCCATCACCAACTCATGCGCTCTTACCTAAAGTGAATCCCTGAGCTTTCCTCGGAAGTTATTTGCAGGGGGGTGAGGGATGGAGAAGTGGTTGGAAGTTTTGGTTTACGGAAGGGTTCCCGTTGGCCAATTTTGTCGATTCCATGTATGTTATTGCACGGCGCACAGGCTGCACGAGGGCCCGCCGGCCATGCTAGGAGAGAATGAGCATAAGTTATTATCACAGCCAATCCCATATCACAGTCAGCCCTTGGCAGATACACAAGTTTCAGGTACGAGTGATAATTAATGATAACACTAATGATCAGTAAGGGAATGAGCTAACGTGCCAAGTTATAGAGCATTACCACCCGCCACACCATACTCCTGGCTATCCCCAGGAGGAACACCCTTCCGTTTGCGTTGGTTGCCTTTAAAGTCTAGATATCATATGTTGCGAGCAAAAATTCCAGGCCCTGATCAAAGACGTCCATTAACAGCCGACAAGTTTGAGCATTCTTTGATCCCGGATTACATAAATTGCAGAAAATTCGAGGGCAGGGATCCCAGGGCTTTTTTTCACTCGGGTGCGGCTGAGGATAATGATAATATCGTACTTGCACATTTGCAGCACTGTACCTGTACAGTACCCAAGAGCCTGTGCCTTGAATCCAAGGTGTGGTCGGTCGGTAGTCGCTCCCCCCTCCCCTTAGAAATGATACTTATAGAGCGCTACCCCGCCTTTATCAGGAGTCGACCCCCCATCTCCACTTCCATCTCCTTCCCTCCGGCTACGCTCAATGCCAGTCCTGTTTAGGCCGCAAAACCCATCTCACCTCCCATCGTTCCTGCTCAATTGATACCCATCCAATCATAGTGGTAACCTTCTCAACACCGCAAACTTGGACAGCACCAATATGGGCAATTACCCCGCTGCCAGCGATGATGAACGACCGTGGATCCCATCACGAATGTCACCTTTGGGGTCATGGAAGAGGCACAACGACGCGCCCTATACTCCTGTCGAAGATGTGAGAGGGTGGATGCCGGAAATCAGCGGGCCCCAAGCGTGGCGGGGGGATGAAAGTGATGCCATCCTATCCTGTCATGGAGCTCCGGAAACGGGGAATACCCTCAGCAGGTAGGATCCGTAACCCCGTACACACTCGGGTAACTGCTTACATCATCCCAGCTCCTTAGTTATCGACACGCTATGCGAAGGGACTGCTGGCCAGAATGTCGACGTTGCTTGCCTATACTGTGACTACCGCGGACAGAAAGAACAAACGCCAGCTGTTATGATGGGGAGTTCCGGGGGCTCTCCAGGTATTTGGCGATTGGGCTGTTGTTGCCTTCCCCTGCTGCGATTACCGCGGGCAGAGAGAAGAAACACTAGCTGTTATGACCCGGGGCCCGCCCTGGCAACCTGTAACGGGGTTGCCGAAGATTCTGGCAGCGATCACAAAAGCCTTCCTAGTCGCCAGTGGCCCTCTCGGAGAACATGCGTCTGGGCTTCCGAATGCCCGGAGCCCTGGCACGATTCCAGCAAGTATAGTGCACCGGACGAGCTTCTGGCGGAGCACAGAGTCGAGTTTCCAACGCTCACTGCGCCAGATCTTGGATAAATTACCCAACACTCACCGGGGGGGCTCACATCCGATATGCTCAAATTAGAATGCATAATAAATATTCCAAAGGACTCTTCTGAAATGTAAGGAAGGATGGTGCGATCAATGTCACTGCTGTTATGTAGCTAACCGTGGTCCACAGCTTCCTTCCAGTTTCCCTGCACATCGATTCAATATTAAGAGAGGCGACTGAAGGGGAATAAGGGAAGGGCTTCACGAGACGAAAGATAGGCCTGAGTGGTGCCTATACAGCAACTCTAGAAAGAATAAAACGGCAGAGAGGAGCCAAAGCGAGGTTGGATATTGCAGCCCTGGTGTGGGTTGCTTTGGCAGAGCGGTCTTTGTTTGTTGATATCGAGCCTCGAATATCAATATTATATCTACTCCTTGGATAGAGACTGTTATAGAAACCTTTTTATGGGACTAAGGTACAGTAGTCATGTATGATCATGCAACATCTAAAACCCGCCTAGCACACGCGACTCTACCGGAATACCCGTGTAGCGCCATAGTCACCGCGGAAGCGTGCCCGAGGGCCCAATGCCACCAACTTCCGAGGCATCCTCCAGCCGTCTACCGGTGCTCCTAGCCATACCGGTATAACTCAATTGGTCCTTCCAGGGCTTCCCATCGGTTCTCGGAACTGCTCCATCAGACCCCCGACTTGCTACCGGCCTTATGCCTCCTATCACCGAGAAAGCTACGCCCAGAAAGAGCTCACGGCCCCCATCAAGCATCCCGCCTCGTCCCCGAGATTCCGGACCGACACCCCGAGCAACTGCAACCATCTTTCTGGCGAAACAAAGGTGTTCAGTGGCATGCGGACAGCAACCCGGAGGGTGTGGGTTACACTATGCTGCATACCGTGGCATATTATAGATGAACTTTGCTACCCTATCACTTCTAGAGAAACCTCCTTGCATGGAATGGTTTGATCAGAGCCGAATGGATGCATGACACCGCACACGTCCTTGGCTTTGGCCGCGAAAGGGATGGACAAGAAGGAGTAGTTAAAGTATCATACTACGGGCGCGGTACTGTACTTGTACCAGACCGAGCTGGCGTCAATCCTGACGGAGTGGATCGCTCTAGCAAAGCACAACGGCGCATAGTTGGCACGGGAGAGCAGTGGATATAGTATCATACGATACGATACCGTACTACAGGCTCGGGGATAAATTCTACCAGTGCCGTGCACCCGCTCCTCCGGAATCCACCTCCCTACACATACGATATGATACTTTGAAACCACTGGGGCGAAAAATCCATACCCAAAAACCTGAATTGAGCCTACACTGTCAGCCCCCCCTCCCCTTGCTGCCCCTGGTTGTATCATACCATCTCATACTCGTACGGGTGTTTGCAGTGACGGTCGCACAAACCTACTAACCCTACATACTGTACACTATCCACTGACCGACCCCAGCGTCACAACATATCACCCGGCTCTGGATAGCAGTAGAGGTCGTTTAGTAACTAGACAAGGGCCAAAAGACACTAAAAGCGACGGTTTTCGAGCTATCATTACACAACCACTATGGGTGGAAACAGCATAGAAAACTATTCAAAAAGTAATCTGCTGCAATAGCCCACATATAAAAAAGGATGGTATTTTTTTCCTTCCATTCCCCCAGAGTTGTGAGGTGTGGAATGTTCATTTCCACATGGTACCTGCCAAGACAAAGGTTTTTGTGTGGAAAAGGTACCAGTACATCGCAGCCGACCCTACCCAGTACATGTGCCCATAGTTCACAGTTCTCTACAAACAGGGGGGGGGGAGCCAAAATAAATATATAATATTATACTCCAGACATATCAAATATTTCTAATTTTTTTCGAAGCGCTCTTTCAAGATACCTGTGGAGTTATCGTGGTTCGAAGACCCGCAATTTTGGTGTGTTTTGGCCTCTGTCTGGTTACTAAACGACCTCTAGTGATAGACCCCTCTTATTGAAGCCGCCATCTAGAGCGGCCGACGCGAAAGCCGCACGCGATCATTGATACTCAGCCCGTGGTCACTCCTTTAAACATAAAGTTAAAAGGAACCGTAGTTACGTACCAATTCTACCATCAACGTTAATAATCCCCCCTTCTCTTAGACGGTATCCGAGTTACCCCCGTGATGTGATCACGAGCAATAAAAGTAAACAAAACATTTTTCCTAAAACTCAAAATGAAAGAGAAGAGCGGGGGGGGGGGGGGGGGGTTAGATCCGTCTATCTCCTAGACCCAACTTGCCGGAAAGGCAAAGATTTATTCCCAAGGAATAACACCGTAATGGGGTCCTCAGTGAAGTATCATACTGGTATCTTACTGTACTGTACCTAACCGGCTCGGTGACTACGGTGTCAGGGAACGAACTATGTAACCCCAGTGCAATTGGCAGGAGTTCCGGGAGACTGGATTGCCCCCCCCCCCCCCCAACGGTATATCATCCTGTAATCCGCCCCAGGTGCCCAGCGTATAGTCAATGTAATGGAGTTAACAAAACCGGTAGGGTATTATACGGTGTCCCCGGGACGCCGGCTTGAACCCGCACAAGACAACAGCAAAATCCAGTGGATGGGTGGAAGAAAACTGCTCGCTGCACCGGGACGGGCTATGTGCTATATAGTGATGCACTGGTACTCTAATGTGCAGCACGGAAACATTATATCCCATCCTAGGTGGACCGTACTAGCAGCTAACTTATGTAAATTATATTATACTGCTAGTGCCAATTCACCAACCATGCCGGGAAATCCCTGGTAATAAACCCTAGCCACTCATCCAATCCCATCCGAAACCCTTCCGGCCGCTTCCCCCTCTCTCCATTTTTCGCATGATATATCAGATACATCAGTTCAGGCAGAGAACTTACCGGTGAGCGGGCTGAATTGTCCATTGATCGGTCTTTCCCCCGCCCCAGTAAGTGATTAATCAGGCAGAACCTGAGAACGAAAGTTTACTCTCCAGCGTTGAAATATCCTGAAACGAACCCTTTCATCTATTTCTCGTGCTTTGTTACACGCACAAGCACACCCGCTTCAGCCCTGTATTGAAGTTCGTATTATATCCCATCGGACCGTCCTCCCCGTGCCGACTTCATTAGGTGAGGGGTCTAGAATACGCAGAGGTAGAGCATCCTGTCGTCCAGTCACTCCAGATACTCGAGTACGAGGGCCTCCAAGGCCGTACAGTACCCTCTATTTCTCGAGTACTGGCTTCACGTATTCGCTCTCACCCAGTCCAATATCGTCCCCCCAACCCACAACGGCCACACGCTATACCGAGCATGTCGCCATGACACACCACAATTCACCAGAATCACAACACAACACAGCAACCGCAAAAAATCCGATTAATGTCTCATCTGCTTTACTCTAAACTACCCTGCATCGCATCCTACGGGAAACTTGGCATAGAACTACAAAGAACACACGGGAAACACAACAAAAGGGAAAAGAAACCAAAAAATCACAGCACCGATGCGTAGTATTAATCCCCCACCGGACCGCTCGGTGGCCAGTCCAATCAATTAGCTAGTCAAGCTATCAGACAACCAGTCACGGCGTGTTTACCCTCTATTGATCTGCACCCTCCTCGAGCAGTAACCTAAAGCTAAACGGCTCGAAGGCGATGCCATCCCCGATAAAAAACTTGCTCTAGTGCGGACGTTAGTGCTGTATACAATGAAATAGAGTCGAATGAACGGATGGGAGAACGGAAAGAAGGGAGTAATCACCATAGCCTCAACCCATTGCAAACGCAAACTGTGCAACATGGCGCTAGTTCCCTCCATAAGCACCAGCACCATAACGGTGCAATTCAGCCAGAAAGAGAACAGAATGACCATCATGATCACCCCGGTAGTCCCCTCAAACCCAAAACCAACAGCCATCGTCATGTCCCAGAGCACGACCGATAATTGAGCGTGCGCCAGTGACAAAGCCCATAGACGGAGGTATGAGGCTGTATGGGAAATACAATTGAGGCAAAATTCGATAGTATGGATGACCTGGTGGATCATCACTTCGCTGAATTCGAACTCTTCTTCTTCCCTCATCTCCTCGGCGATGAGGACGTGGCCCTCGCCGTCGCTCTCGATACTTTCACGACCACGAGGAGATTCATCTTCGTCATCGCCGTCAAGAGCACTGACCCTGGAGACTTGGCCTAGTCCCTGGTAACCGGCTGCGTGGTGCTTGTTGTGCTCCCATCGAAGGTAGAGAGGTTTGAGCAGCAACATCCAGGGTACACAGACCAATGCTATCAATAGCAAAAGAACCTGAACGGCTGCCTGGCCGGGATAGAGCTGTTCTGTGACTTTTCCAGGGGCTAGGAACATGTAGATGAGAAGATTCAACAGACTAGGCGGACTCTCATCACGGGAAATCCAATCAACGGACCATTTGTAGACAATAGTAAGTACCAAATAACCAAAGATCGACTGGAAGAAGATCATGCCCGGGATAAAATTACCCCATGTATCGATCTTGGACCTAAAGTAGCGGTGGTTGTATTGGGAGAGGCAAAGAGAATAAGTCATCTGTATAGCATTAGTCCCCGCTGTCCCCGTAAAAATAACGGGATGCGAACTCACATGAAACCACCCCATGATGATACTGAGCTTCATCTTAAGACTGTTTGTGAACAGCAAACTATTCTCCGCTCCATGCCACTGCCAATCCAAACCGAAAGGATATGTGTAACCAGGCAACTTTTGTGCCTCAATATTCTCCCCAATTGTGAAGTTCCCGGGGTACGCCCACTGACTCTTGAACAGCGTGAGAGGCTTGGAGAAGATATCATTGTAGATGAGGCCAGTGTAAATGGAGAAAACTCCCATAAGCAACATAATATATCTTCCGAAGAATGCCATATCGAAGAGCTCAAAGATCTTTTGCTTCTCAAACCTCTTCTCGTACCATATCATTGTAGTTGCCGTAAGGGTCAGAATAAAACCATGTCCAATATCACCAAACATGACGGCGAACAAGAATGGGAACGTAATAATCGCCGCCAATCCGGGATTAACCTCACGGTATTTTGCAACACCATAAGCATCCACAATGGTCTGGAACCCGATAGTGAATTTATTCGTTTTGTGATACGTTGGAGGCGTCTTTGTCGTCCTGAGCTCGTTGACGATCGTAGGAACCTGCAGCCCAGCGCGATCCGTAACATCCCTCAGACGCTTCTGAATTAGGGGCAACTGGTTCGTTGGCAGCCACCCCTCTGCAATCAAACACTTCCTCGCCGAGTCGTAAATAAACAAATTCAGTGTCTGATAGATCGCCTTCTCCTTCTTGATAACCACCATCCAGCTCGCAAGATTCTGCGCAATCATCCTCAACTCGCTCGTCAACGTATTCCTGGTATTGTGCAAGACGGAATCAAGATCATTAATCCTACTGTTGACCTCATGAAGCTGATCCCTGCGAAGAGTGTTGTCCTCGTCCACACTGTAGAGGCCAGCGCCGAGAGACTCCGAAATCTTACGAATCTTAGCCAAAATCTCCTTTCCATGGGCGAAAATAACGAAAACGTTCTTGTCAACAGGTTCATTGGTGCTTGGGTCGACGATGGGCTCATCAATCTCCGACTGGTTCATGTAAAGATTCCCTCTCAATGTTCGCCAAAGGATCCTCTCGAACGCGGCAATCCTGTCCCTGCGAATTACACCAGCAACGAAGCCAATATTCATGGTCTGGAACATCGTATCTCCATGCCCAGCGCTACCAGCGGGAGCGGACTGTTCGACGTCTTCTAGTAAAGGCGCAGTGGGCTCATCAGTAGACCCACGGCGGATCTCCTCAGCCTGGCCATGGGCACGATCAAAGAATCCACCAGCTTCCCTCAATACCCAGCGAAACTCAACGAGCTCAACCCATCGTTTCTGAAGAGTCTCGTAAGAAGCGTTCAACTGACTGACCCTCACTTCTAATTCGCCCGCACGAGTAGCAAGGTAATCGATCTCCGAGGCGCTCGGGGCAGCAGTGAGGTTCGCGTTATCGGGAACGGGTCGGACAGGAACCGAATTCTTCTCCATTTGCGCTCCGAAAAAGCCTACAGCACATTAATACTAAGCACCCACCGCCAGGGGGTCGAATGAAACATACGAAGCTGCCGTTCAACATTATCCAACCGGCGGATATCTTTGGTGAAAGTTCTCTGAAAAGCGGATGTCTCCGCATTCAACTGTAGAGCACGTCGTCAATTAGCCCTCCCCCGCTACCATCACAACTACAGCACGACCTCATCAAATTATAGAAGGGGAGAAACCTACATCTCTAAACTGGAGCATCCCCACTTCACCCAACTCGCTAATCGCCTCCCGGCTTATCTCCGTTGCAACGTACAATTGTACGAGCGACATCTTCGCCGAACGGAACAGGGTGTCCTGGCCACTCATGATGGCGGTTCCTTCGGCGAGCTGTCAAGAAAAAGATGGTAATGCAGAGCTGTAGCCAGATGTTTCGACTGTGGAGAACAAATAAAGAAAGAAAGGGTTGGGGGATCTAGCAGACGGTGAAAGGGAAGGGAAGGGAAAGCGGGATTGGGGAACAAAACCATGGAGGACCGCGCAACTGGACAGAAGGGCGATGGGGGTGCGCGTTGCCAGGGCTTGGCAGTAAGACCCGCCAAGGCATTTGCACAAGTTATCACTCAGCTTCGTGTGAGCAAGGTGAGCCAAACTGCTATCATTTCCGACCCGAACCATGGAACTCGGTGGGCACCTGTGGCCGAGGTTCGGCAAAATTCCCTACTCCAGTGGAGATCGTGTCCGGTTGGTGTGATGGTCTATAGTTCGCGGTGTTAGTCCCTTAACCATCGGCAACTCCCGCTGCTCATGTGTGGGGATCCGCTCTTCCCCGCTAGACGCGATTGCCCGCTCTCCGTCCTCTCAGGACCCGGGAGACTGAATCACAGATTGAAACCTGGGTCGCACAAATTCACCCTGTGGGAAACGTAGGCTCTGGATAGACGAGGTATCCGGTACCCACCCTCCTACCAGTAGTGTTGGTGTGGTGACAGGGAGACCTGCTCCAACGTTGAAATAGGCCTCGTGAGACGATTAGCAATCACAGGTCGTCACTCAGCAAAAAACTTGCAACAGCCGACTCTCAATACCGTCTCGGAGGAAAAAAAGGAAGACACTTCATTCACTCCCCTCGCCTTCAATTGCTCATTCCCCTCTACGCATCGACAATATAGATATCAAAACTACAGGGAATAAAGGAAAGACAAGAAGGCCCCCCAAACTCCGGAAATCAACAAAAAGTAGCAGAAAATGTATGAAGAATAAAATATAAAAAATTACCAACAAACAAGACAACAGCACCTGCATCCATCCATCCATGGCCCAGCCCCCCTCTCCCCTGCTGGGGCGAGCCCCAACCACGATACTAATACAAGGTCCTCTCCTCCCCCTCCACGAACGAAGTCACCGAAATCAATAGCACAAAAAGTGTGACCAATTCCCCCAGATCACCAATGTCATCCACACGCTGCCCCCCGATCCCTGCATGCCGCTTGAACACGGTCATGATGACGTTGCGGTTCTCCGTGATGAATTGGCGTCCTAGCTTGGTGGCTGTTTGGTTTTGCGGGCCCTTGGATAGGATAGCACATGTTACGACGCGCATGGCGTCTTGTAGGAGGTCGTAGTATTTTCGGAGGGTTGTTGGGTCGCTTGCACCTGCCTTTTGGGTTAGTTTGGGAGGGGAAAGGAAGTTGTCAGCTAGGGGAGGGGGAATGTACGTACCGACGCCAAGGTCTGGGTCGACGGCAAACAGGCGGCTTTCCCGGAGTGCTTGGAAGAGGCCGGCGTTTATGATGTAGCCCGAGCCGATACGTGTTTGGGAGACGCGCACGAGGAAGCCGGTTGTTGCTTTGAAGGAGCGCATTAGGTAGTCGATGTCTGTGATTGTGTTAATTACCCGTTCGCAGTAAAAAGGGAAGAAGGAAGAGAAAAAGAAAAAGGGTGGATAATCACCTTTACCAGTGGTATTCCGTAAATCGTGCCCGATCCGCTTTAACGAGTCTATGATGACAACAATGAAGTTTTGCCTCATCAGAGTGTCGATAACATAACTTGACCCCTCGTCTGCTGCAGACCCAACTAGAGTCTCCAGAAGCAGTAATGCGACAATCTTACATTGTCCTTCCCCGGCATAGGCGTCATTGCAGAGCACCTCGAGGAGTCTGTCCCCGGAGGTTTTGATCGTCTGTGTATTGTGGCGAGCCGGGCCATTGGTTTGGATAGACAGGTCGGACATTCCTTTCAAGTATCTGTAGGCGATGTTGTAGAAGTCCTCCCGGATGTTTGCCGTAGCCATAGGGGACTGAATGCATCGTAGGGAGATCCTGAATAGTTGGTGCATCCTATCGTTCGCCATGTCGGAAGCCCGTCCCTTTCCAAACGTTTTACTGTCAAATGTAAGGTGGGTGGTGAGCGTATGCGCAAGAGAACTGAGCTCCTGTGCATAGACAATATCACCGCTGCAGTACGACTCGAGTTTCGGTAGAATGGATTGGAGAGCTGTGAGTAGGAACAGGGTCTTTGCTGAAGGCTCATATTCGCAATCCTCTAGCATCACGGCGATGAGTGTGCTCCAGGCTTTTAGACATTCTAGATTGGCTCCCTTGAATAGTCGTAGTTGATTCTCCGCGAAAAGATAGTCTAGCAAAGCCTTCATCTCAAGGGTCACGGAATCATCATTCGAGTTATCGATGACTCCAAGGACACCTAATTCATTCCGTCTTAGCAATAGAATCTGGTCAATAGTCGGTAAATGGTATGATGGGTTGCCGAATGGGTCGTCCTGGTAGAACGCCGAGAGGTTAACGTCGTTGAACCAGGTAATCTTAGGCGTTGGGATAGATTCTGGCGCATCAAGCTCTAAGAAATCCAGGAGATCGAGAATATGAAGATTCGTCATGGATTGGCCATCCAATATCGTCTTTCCCAACAACGTTGAGAGATACTTTGAGACTCCCGTCGATGCCCCTTGCGTCGATAATTGCCGAATTTCGAGGGCAATATAATTGAACAAAGAAGTGCGTCTGCCAATGAAATTGCAGAAGCTGGCAGCGGCGCCCCTCGTGAAGAACTCGTCTGATTCAAATGGGATCCCATCCCAGATTGTTTGTCTCTGGACAAGCTGCTCCGAAAGCATCTGAGAAAACAATAGTTTGTTGGCGCGAAGAACATACAGAACCTCAGCGGAGGTGGCCGGCGATTTCCAGAGTCTTTTAAGAACTGAGAATATATCGTTCTTCAGGCGGCAGAGGCCCCCATCGTATGCCAGGCCTGCTTCATCAGACTCGCGCGCATCTACATCTGCGAGAAGGCTGTGCAGGAGCGAGACGCCAGATCCGATTCCGCCCGAGGACACACTGAGACTAATGCCCTCCTTCTCATCCCAACCGAATCCAAGCAGCATATGCGCAAGAGTAAAGTCATTCGGTTGTGACGCCAAACTGCTATCCAACAGCTTCAAGATAGCAAATTTCTGGGGGTATCGCATGTCCATCTCTTCGCTGTCCACATCTGCCTCCCATTGCTGAATGAAGTTGAATAATATTCGGTTCGATTCAGGGCTCTGCTCAATGACACCAAGGAGGCGGTTTTTGCGTGCCTGTTGCCCTAATGAAGAACCCATGGTCGACACTAGCTTCGGTGCTACAGAAAGCTTCTCCAGAAGACTTAGAGCAGCCAAAGTTACGTCTTGATAAGCGCTTCCGACATATAAGCCAAGACAGACCACAATATCCAAGTGATGTAGGATTGCTTCTTCGACAGAAGGAAACCCAGTCGGGATAGTATTCATCTTTCTCACCCCGCTTTCATCCCGTTTGACCAGAGGGCGAACGACTTCGAAATAGGTCGATTGCATCCTCATGGCAAGATCAAGGATGTTGATTGTCATCAAAATAGTTCGTAAAATAGGCATGGGCGCACCCGCGGATGCAAGATCCTCGACTCCAAGTTTTATAATCTCGTGAAGCACGTTGAAACATTTCTCCGTCAGAAGCTGCTCCATGACTCGCGCGAATGGGTGTAGCTTAGCATATGTCTCCAAAGAAGATGCTCCAATCGCGACATCAACAGCGACATTGGAACTTGCAATGTTCAATAAATCTTCGTTAAAGTTAATGAGGCATGTTTCAATGAACTCAAGGCAGCTAGATTGTAGGGCAGGTCGGAAAATTCTGTATTGAGCACGGGTGAGTCTCTCTGTCGGGTCATCGATCTTCTCAGGAACGAGAGGGAGATCTGGGGGAAGGTTCTGGAGACTCGTGTTGGTGAAGACGGTTCCGACGATGAAGTCGATATACGGGTCAATCCCGGAGAGGCGTGTGGAGCTACCGAGGGTCTCCGGGAATGGGAGGGAATCTTTAAGGAGAGAATCCTCCACTGGAGGCGAGACCAATGTTGCCATCAGTCGGGCAAATGCCTCAGCTGGGTGTACCGCTGTAACGATGGCATCGAGTTTCTCCGAAGCTCCGGCTTGAGCGAATGGCTTCCCCGGCATGGAGCCGAGCTGCAGAGCATTTGATGGTGGGGTAGGTGTACCGAGTGCCCAGTTATCGACGGCAATCCACACTTGGGAATTCAAATTCTCAGTCTTCTCCGTGAGAAAGGCGGTGATGGCTGAGAACACAGAGTCCCACAGTTGAACCGAAGCCTGTAAAGCCAAAAGATCAAACAACGCGACCACGATCCGAAAATTGGGGCTCTCATGAAGTAGCCAATGCCGGGAAGCTGGCGATTCTTGGGTAACCTGGGCAATCAATCTTAGGTACCCATCCAACATCATACTTGACTCTGGCGGCGGTTCCGTGATGGTTTCGGCGGGTATAGCAGGAGTTCTGTAAGAATTGGTAGGTACCAAAGCTTTTTGCCGTACCCTAAGCTGCTCGATGTATTTCTGGAATTCCTTAAAGAGCTGCTCCCAGGAGAGGTACTGGGTCCTTCGGTTCTTCTTGGAACCGGGAATGATCTCATCCTGGAGGAAACGATGTGTATGCTCGGCGGCAGTTGCCCCCAAAGCGAGTGATGTCAACATATAGCTGAACGTAGCAACCATGAATGGCATATGGCTGGTTGAAGCCCAGACAATGAACCCATGCAGATTGCTCTCTGGGTCGACCCAGAAGGCCATTCCGGCATTCCGTCGCCCGAGATATGTGTAATGTATCATCATATAAAATCGTTCCAAGTCGTAACCGCACGTCCTCTGTGTTAATAGCACATCCTCCTCTTCCTGCGTCTTCATCTGCTTTAGCAAGTCTGCCATGTTTGAGATAAAGCATTCGATAAAGATTTCAAACTGGCTGATCACGAGGGACTTGAATAATACCGAAAGCAATTTGTTGTCTTCCAGCGGGGCCACTCGTGTTTGTAAGAATCTGTGAAGATCCTCTTTCGCTGAATTGAGATACCATTCCGCGCTGACATCCGCGGATACAGCGAGCATAAATTCGAAAGCACCATCCTCTAAAGCAGCCTTTGACGGGCTGAAGACATGTGCGAAATAATCCAACGTAGCGGAGTCGGGAGCTTCCGCTGAGGACGGATCGTTACATAGGCCGTTGAACTCACTCAACCACCATATCTGAATCGAAGCCTGAACAAATCTGAGGGGCCATGGGGCGCTCTTAAATTCGCTAAGCATATACTTGTGCAGCTCTACTGTCTGCTGAAAGTTGATCGGCGAGTCTGGATCGCAGAGAACAGTACAAAAGGAGTATAACGGTAGGATATGGTGAAATGCAAATATATCGTACTTCTCGAAGGATTTGGCGACACCCAAGAGGTTCTTGAAATCCGCGACAGCTCCCCTCTTCAATTTAACTAGGTAAAAGACGATCGATGCTAGAGCCTCGTGCTGGTTCATCAAAAACCGGACTTGGACCTCCAAATCCTCCTTAAACCCATGAGTTGGAATCAATCGTAGTGTTTGTTCGTGCCGCTCCTTCTCTCGTAACTGCTGGACAGAGCCCCTGACAGAAGCCATGGTGGAAATACATTTCTCTGTAAACGACCCGGAACCACCAGCAGCCGCGGGAGCCTTTGGAGAAGCTAGCAAATTTGCTGCCTGCTTTGTAGCCCTCCGGATCTCTGGGTTGATCTCCTCGTTAAGGGCGTAAGAAAGGATTAACCGCAGGGACTCGAGGATGTTCTGTCGGCGGGTGTGGAATAGGAAGGTTGCACTTTGAAAAGCATTCCGATCGAGAACCTGTGATTCCTTCTGTCCGCGTAGTAGCAGGCGCGCGGCCTCGACTTCGTCAATGTTGAAGTCATCGGAAAGTTGTATAGCTTCTTGGATGAAAACCTCGTTGATCTGGAACTCTCCTTCCTCGGTGGTCAGTTTGCCTGAAATTACTACGACTTAGCACTCTGCTGCTTCGTTTAGCACGCGAAGCGGAATTGGGGCTTTCCTACCGGACTTGACTTGTGTATGGCTTGCATCGCTTTTTGGTGGTATGTCGAGAAGCTTCTTCAGCTGGTCTATGTTCTCTTCTAGCAGTTCTCTCAATAGAGATGGGTTAACGCCCGGGGTCTCAACGACAGCCAGTAGAGCATTGTAAAGGCCGAGGCAGTCATCAGCGGAGGGCGATGGTGAGGGCGCCATAACGGAATATGGGAAAGAGGGAGAGGGGCAGGGGGAGGGAGGATACTAGGCGGTGGTGAAATGTGTTGGCAAGAGTGAGGATTTTGGTGAGTAGTCGCAAGAGGCGACAGGGAAGTCGTGCTTCAGTTCGCGACTTTCTTGGAACAGCACGTGTGGCTGGTATTTCTTCTAATGAGGCTTGAGGGTCCAAATGTGTGGCTGACCGCTTACGCGCGTGGGTCGCAGCCAACACGCCGTGCCAACTTTCTTTGAGCCTCCTGGAACCTCGATTATGCATGGCCCGCGGACATTGGTATGGGATCTGAGACAAGATTCACGAGTATCATAGGAGGAAACGCGAGGAATAAATTACAACGTCTACGAATAGCGACTACAAGAGAGAGAAAGGCTAAAGAACGTGATTTTTTTTGTTTACAACGCCTCTCCTCAGCCTGTCCTTCTCTATGCCCTGAGAGTCTTCTAATACGGAATGCCATTTGTCAAGTGTTGGAAGCGGTCGTACTGAGCAGTGGAATAACTACCGTAGCTCTTCTTGACAAGATATCTCATATAGTCCGCCGCTTCCCTTTCGTTCTTATCTAACACAAAGCGGCCTTTGAAATTTTGGATTGTCTCCGGTTTGAAGCAAGGCAATCTGGTTTGGAAGGGTCAACACTCTGATGTATTAGGGATTGTGAAGGAAAGCCTACCCGCTATCCAACATCAGCACAACACAATGTGTCAATTTATCGGCATAAGTACGGCAAGCCAGGAAGGACTTGACACATAACTCCTCAAACCGGAGGTATGATTGAGACTCTGTATTTCCGCCCATGACAGAGATCATCTCGGTTGTGAGCTTGAACGGGGCACGCTCGAACGTGATACCACCGGGGGCAATGTCAAAGCAGAACCCGAAATCTAGGATTCGGGTCAGTGGATACATTTGGTTTGCGGTGCATTGTTAACTCACCAATGTGAATGATGTGCCCAGCGTCGTTAATCATGATATTTCCATTGTGGCGATCCTTAAACTTTAGAAGATACGAGATGACTGAATATGCCGCCATACTCTTGACGAAGTTGTTTCTTGCCTTTATTTCAGGTCAATATTATGTTGGCGGGGAGAATTCTCCAAAACACATACCTCTTGGAACTTGATTGAATCTTCGCCACCATACTTATTGATGAAGTATTCGTACAATCCCATTTCATGGTCTCGTCCCAGCATATCTCTAGATATGGAATTTGGCAAGACATCAATGACACCACATCCAGGGGCGGTCGCAGTGACCCTGTAAGGAAATACCCAAACATCCAGACCAACGCTATTGAAGATGTTTCGGAACGTCGAGATAAGCTGCAGGGCCAACATGTCCTGCCTACAGTCATCTCCAACCTTGAAGATCGCCGCCTGCCATAATTCCTTGGTTACAGTGGAGACGGAATCTTGACGCCGCTCGTTGCGACTCATATTCTCAGTTTTGGCGACATTAGTGATATCCTTCTTGCTAATTCTGAAAGTAGCCATGAAGGGGGCCTTAGCGTGACTCTGAAGCGATTTACCACTTTTCCTGTCGATATCGATAACAACCCCATCAGGATTGCTAGGCAAGTAAACACCGACATCGACATTAATCTTAGCTAGTTCTTCGGCGATCTTTTGATTTTTCTCTGGCTTGGGTTTCTTGATATAAGGGCGAAGCTTTCCGGAAATCGAGGTAACTTCATTAAAGAAGGAGAATTCACGCTCATAAAAGCTTTTGTCTGCGCCGGAAAAGCTTCCGATAAGATGATCCATGACTTTGTCCAAAGTTGGCTTGATGGGATCGGGCTTAATTTGGGGTCAGTGGTCATGGTAATGCATTCAAGTCATTGGAAAACTCACAGTCTGGGAATCTTCATCTTTATACGCATTTGCCTTCATATTCCAGATGATCTGATGAGCAAATAGCTGTGAGAACTTAGCCGTCTCGAGGATGAATCTCTCAACGTATCCCAATGTATCGTATCTCAAGGTTTGTACAATTTGCGGGACATAAAAGAAGGTAACGTCAATCGAATGGGTCTCCAGCGCCCTCATGGCATATTGCAGGACGAAAGCATTATTCGCATACGATGGCAGGAAGTAGGTGGTCGCGGTGATTGGATTGACTGGAGCCCAATACAGAAGGTACTATTAAATCACAGGTTAGTGTGTGGCGATCAAGCTTAAAATATGAGCAGCAGTTCCAACCTTCAATTGAAAACTCAGTTGGCTAGAAATCTTATCCCCTAACATTATCTGAAGTGCATCTGGCTGGTCTACCACTGCTTCGGGATATGTCATTATAAACCTCTTGATGTCTTGATCAAGCCTTGGTGACTGGAAACGTTTAGTTAGCTGAATAGCAACCGCTGGGTCTTCACGCCAGGCCGTAGGTAAAACGACGGCAATGGAATTATCGGTGGTCGGTCTAGCTGGATGAGAGGGTAACAAGTGATGCTTTCTTGAGTGGTCAAGGGGATAAAGCCATGTTGCCAGTCTCGTTAACTCATTTTCAACAAGCATCAATAGTAAATCATGCTTTTCCCTAATGTTCTTGGTTGTGCTGGATATGGTGGCCATACTCTGTAGAAGATTCGCAACATCTTGTAGTAGATGAGCCTCCGCTTTGACCTGCAGCTTATTTCCCCCAAAGGACCACCGTGGAGGGAATTTGAACCATGTTAAAGCTGCTGAAAGGATTTGGTCTTTGAGTCTCCATTGCTGGCGTTCGGTCAATCCGGTACTGTGTTTCAGAACCTGCAACCCAAATAGGACCAACTTGAACCTAACTTCCCTTGAAAGTGGGTGGCTTGTAGCGTGGTGAAGTCCTGCCAGCGATACGCGAACCAATCTTAAGAATATCTTCTGGATGTGGGGGTTTCCGTTCCTGTTGGCATGATAATGACTGGAAAGCATATGCAGCAATTTCAAATGGGGGGAGAGTAGATCGGAGGCATTTTGTTGTTCGATCAGGTGTTGTTCCTTGTCCGGTGGCGCATATTCCATCCTAAGTTCGAAGGGATCACGGCTCGTGAAGTTATCAGAGAACAGACCCATCCTTTTCTCAACAGTCATTTCCCAATTCCTTGCAATTTCCGTCAGAATTCTTGATTGGAGGCGAGGTTTCTCATGGATCACTCCTGTCCATAGTGAGATACCAAGGTTGATAGATTTCTTGCTAAACACAGCGAAGGGGATCCCAACAAGGCCACGGATAAGCGCTCCCTGATCCTTCTCCGAACGACATACAAGTGCAGCAGCCCTCTTCAGCATATCGCGAAGTTCTCCGATGGGAACAAACTCATTTTCGTAGTCCTTGCTCTCCATCTGGGACAAAAGGGCTTGTGCAGAATCCGGTCGCATGATAGATGGGGCATTGGAGGAGTTCGCAGAGTCCACAAGAGGTCGTATGCTTAGCCAATCTTCATGATACTCGAGGGCTGGCTCGGTGTGGCGGTACGCTTGGCGAGTTGTGTATTGCATGACAAAATCAGAAGCAACGTTGCCATCACAATCCCGGCGATGGTCGATTGATGCTAGCCTCTGATCGCCGCTTGGAACGGCAGAACCAATTTCCACGGCAAAAGATCGACCAAGGGATACATGTCCTAGACTGCCTTCATCTTCGAATTCGGAAAGGTAGGTTTGCATAAGGCCTTTGACATCAAGCGGGGCCACATTCAAAACCTGAAGAACCCACGCTTTTGCTCTGGCCTGAAATGCTTTCAGCAACCTGCGTCGGAATACATAAGAATCCGGCAGTTCAACTGAAACCCCTCCTTTCACCGAAGTAAAGATGGAGCGAGTGGTATACTCGTCAGTCTCTTCCTCCAAACAGCTCAGCCATAGCAAAGTGAGTAACTCCAAGAGAGCAAACAGAGAAGTTTTTTGGCAGAGCGCTGAAGGCATTACATCAATAATGCGATCAGCGATTCCAATAGCAATAATCTGAATTCTCTCGAGTCGATGGCAGCACCCAACAAATATATCTGCCAACTCCTCGGCGGCTCTCGTTGCTGAGAATTCCGGATAGGTTCCTTCTAGAACTCTCCGAATATATGTATCCACAACGCTGCTTGCCACTGCGATCATGCAGCTAGTGCCTGCACCAGCCTTGAAGCCGGCTTCCATGAAGTAGGCAAGGACTTTAGAGCATCCGCCTGCTTCTGCTCTTAAAGACTCGAGGGTATAGGCTGCTTCTAGGAAAATAGCTCGAGGGTGGGAAAGGGGCCTGATTCCGATCTCTTCCGAAGGGACCAGGGCAAGAAGCCGTTTCTTGTGCTCCACCGTGTTTTGGGGAGACATGCTCCGGGCAAGAATGGACTGCTCACCCAGGTCGCTGTCGATACTCTCATCTTCCTCCATTCCGGAGACCAATGGCGGGGTATAGAGCGCAATGGTTCGGAGTTCTGATGTGTACTTCTTTGCCTCTTCCGAATCATAAAGAATGCCATTTAGGGCGCAGTTGAACCAGAAGTCACGAAGAAGCGAAACAAATCCGTAGCGAATGGCAAAGTTCACGTCGGGCCCATTGCTTGAGAGTAGTTTAGCGAGAGGTGGAATTAGTTGATGAATCTCACGGGCCGCCAACTACAAGGGCTAATTAGCCATTTTTCGATAATCGCGGCAAGGGATCGATTGTAGATAAAGAGAACTAACTAGAGCATCTGTTTGCCTCTTCCCTTCGGGCTCGCGAGGGTCACCAATGGCAGCAGCGGATTCGAGCATATCATTCAAATAAATGTCACACAATTGTGACTCGCGCGTCAAGTTTGTGGCAAGTACCATTCTTGCATCAGAGATCTAGTTCAGGCAGTTAGCCCGAATGATTCGGTGTGATTCGGTGTGATTGTGAGGGAGGAGAGAGGGAGCTCTTGATGACTTACAGCACGAATTATATTAGTATCGTCCTGCCAGACCGCATCAGTGCCCATCTTGTTATATACTTGCAGCACGGACTTGAAATCTGTGGGAGATGATTTTAAGGCTAAAGATGCGAGCCCGGTAAGGATTTTTGCGTTGACCGCCGTGTTGACTTTATTGAGTCTTTGTACGAGGATATGTTGGCCCAAAGAGACCATCTAGACATTTTATTAGTACAATTGGATGAATATCACAAGTCGTAATTAATATGCTCACCTTTTCATCCTTACAGCCGTCAACAATCTCAACAATGGTCTCAATGATGCTTGAATAGACATATAGTCTGTCTTCTTCTCCGGTAGAGGTGAGTGACAACGTACTTCCCATGGTCAACTGATCAAAAGGTTGCAATCTCTCAGCTTTTAATGCACGCTCTGGATTGGAGGACGAAAGGACATGACCCAGAGTATTTAATGTCGTGATAGTTACATCTTGCGGTAAAAATTTCAAGACGTATGCTAAGCATTTCCCTGCAACTATCACGGTGCTCTGATTGGTGGGACCTGACCCCTCGACAATGAACTTGTGCAAGGTACTAACGAAATTGGGGGTGGACTGGGGGTCATTGTTTGATAAGATAGACAGCAGCTTCAAGACAGTACTAGCGAGCTCCTCGTGGGATATTTGTACTCCGTCGGACATGGTTGTTGCTAACCATTTAAGAAGCTGCTCCAAATCCGCGATATTCTCATTGAGGAAAAGGCAATTGGAATATGTGACCAGGGCCAAGGCTTTCATAGAAAACCCAAGCTGCTGCTGCCATTCACTGCGAGCATATTCCACGCCCTCTTCTATCAGGGCTATGCTTTCCGAAGCGACTTCAACAAAGAATTCGATAGTAGAAGGGTCCTCCTCAACTTTGGCCGAGACCTCACGATCCGACATGATGGTGTCTAGTATTTCCTGGCCCTGGAGAACGGGTTCCTCCACGACCATAAGGGAAGTAGCCGCAGCCACCAGTTTCATATACTCTCGCCGTATCAGCATAGCGCCAAGTGGCTTTCCAGCGGTAGAATACCGGCGAACATGGGCTTTCCATGGCTTGAGGTGGGCTTCCTGAGAATCGGAGTTCCGGATTGTGGCAAAAATGGCCTCAATATTGGAGAGGTAGTTTTCGGAGAGGACATCCCGTATTTGGGATATAAGAGACACACGTTCGTCTGGAAACCAGAAATTGACTTGCCTGGTGCAGGAGTCCAGGAAGCCAAGGAACGAAAGCGCCGGCGGAGCAAATCCGAGCGCGTCGCCCTCGTCTGGCTCGATAGCCGAGGAAGCCACAGCATTGTCCAAGTATGTGTGAATGGTGTCAATGATCTTCTCCCGTAGAGAGGGGAACTTCAATCCCAAGGATAGAAGTGCACTTGTCAAGCGAGACGTAAGACATTCCCATGGCGAAGGTTCTATATCGCGAAAGAAAGGAGAGGATGACAACTTCTGGTTGTACGACTCGACTAGGTAGGGCGAGAGCTGGCGACGAAGACGTTCTGCGCTTTCATGGGTTTGAAGAAGAGGCGCTGCGTTACAAAGAGCGAGCAACACTTCGAATTCACGCAATGACTATGAAAAGCAGTTTAGTACAAATAAGAGCTTTCGTATGATACTCGATTAACTAACTATGGGAATCTGAGAGGTCTCGGTTTGTGTGGGCGGGGTTCCAGCTCTGTTCAAGCTGTCGTTATCGGCAAGGGCACCATCCAGCGTGGGACGGTAAGCAATACATCCCTCGGCCAGACGATCAAGATCCGAGTTTTTCTGGTTCGAGCTCGAGTCAGAGGAGGCAGCGGGCTGAGGTTCTTTGGCCGATAGCGAGGCCAGTCGCTCCAGAGCAATCCGTCGTAGAGCTCTCGAGGGGCTAATACGAACGACATGGGGGTCAGCTATAAAATCAGGGCAACGACGCGAGGCCTGCGGGTAGGAAGAGGAACTCACCGGTCCATTTGGAGCTCCGGGCTGATTAAGGGGTAAATCTAAAAAGGAGATGAGGATGAGGGCAGTTCCAGCAGGAAAATTTTAGCAAAAATGAGAGTGGGGATTAAAGTAAAGAAGCTCGTTTAATTGCAAAAGCGTGAAAACAGAGAGATATTCCGAAGGTGTAAATCATAAGAAACCCCTGCAACGAGATCTCAGCAGATTTGGAGTGAAACAGCATCCTGCTCGGCTTTGGAGCTTGGCCTCTAATATAGTTACCCTGCCGCGGAGTCCCCCCACCACACACCACCATACAAAATTGGTAATATTTCTTCTATCAATGCCATATTATCATACCAGTATGATACTGTACCGCACCCATGCCGCAATGCATATGGCCACCGCCTCAAACATGATAATGTCGTTATTATTAACACAATTTTTGGCCCGAGATGGTGCCGGTACCAAGTACCGGTATCCACGGTTGGTGGACGTGTGGTTGGGGCACTCTACGACCGCTGTACGAGAGCAATACCAGCACCTTGTACCGGTATTACCGGTAGACCCTATTCACTGCACATTGCTAATAGTGGCGTCACATATTTAACACATCCTCCCGCATCATCACACCCGACTTATGAGGAGTGTTATTACTCCTTCGCCAATCATGTCTTGGCCAACTAATTCTTGAACCTTTCTTTAAATTTAGTAGCCAACCAACTGTGAAGGTATTACAAACTATTAATTTGCGGGTTCTTGTAAAAAGAAGATGCCGCACCTAATGCGGAAGGATTTAGGGTGTTTTCAGAACCATTTCCCGAGTATTTAATATCCCTTGTCGCATAATATTGTTGCCTAGCATACCGGTAACCCGCGAGTGCCCGGGTGATGTAATAGAACCTGGCACTGGGGTCCGCGGGACCGCCCAATACTGGAGTGGAACAACGGGAATACCGGTACCCGCAGTTTCTCGCATTCCTCTCCAGAACCCACCTACCCGTAGTCTACTCGTAGTCTACTGGCATCATAGATTGGCCTTCCATGTCCGGGTACCGCGAAGCTCGCGGCACACGCGCTCTCAAGCCCCAAGTCCTGGCATAGAATGACAAGCGAAAAGTAAGCACGCTTTAGATACGGAGGACACACATACCGGTATCATACTCTACCCCAGACTACCTTTTAAACCAAGTCCCATTACCGGTGGCACTCCGCGCCTGGCGAAATAATCGCGGAGGTCCCGGATAGAGTGCTGCATCCACTCCCCCCTCTTGCACGAGCTAGCCCTTGCAGAGCTCGAGGCATACCTGGAGGCACGTGAGCGTGAAACGTGACCTCAACCAACTCCAGAGAACCCCGGAACCACCAAACTCCCGAGAGTGCAGCGTTTCGGGCTGAATGGGAAAGTGTAGATGAACACAGCATCTAGTCTAGAGTGCACGGTCAGGGGAAGAGAAGGGACTAAGAATCTAGCCCCCCGACCAAGACTCCCTCCTGCATTGGAACCAAGACTAGCCAGGGTTTTGTCTATGCACGAGTTCTTGCGAGGCCTGAGAAAAGCGAAGAGCAGACGGAGCGTGGGCGGGGTGGGGGGGAGGAACCGGGGAAGATGAGCTGGAGGGTGAAGAGGGGGAGGGTAAAGGTGAGCTCAGCATGGGATGGCGAGGAGGATTGTGAAGGGTAATACGGGAGGGGGAACACTGGGTGAAGGCAAAAAAGGAGGAGGAGAAGGAATGTGAAAATGAGGGTACCGTAGTGGTGGGGTTTACCTGAGCCTAAGCAGGTTTGGATGATGGTAAATGGGGGTTGAGTTATGGTAAAAGAGCTGCGTTACTAGAATTTATTTGGAATTACCCCTATTTTTGCTGGCAAGGGCAGTTATGTAAAAGTCCTTGCTTTCATCTTCATGTCAAATATCATACTCGAGTATCAGATAAGAGGAACCAGAACAATAGTCCAGCGGTCGAAAAGCCAACCGAAAACCAGGACATCGGGCCAACCCCCCCCCCCCCCGGATTATTATTTTTCTGGCCTGTCATATCCTAGGTATCCTAAGCTCTTGCCGATTGTAGCCCAGATATTTAGAGGGTATTTTGGTAAGGTGGCCTTCTGAGCCCGATTTTGTGAGGTTTTCAAGGAGTGCCTGTCCGGGGGGAGCATGGGTTCAAGAATCAACCCTTATCGGATTGTACGGGTTTTCCTGCGGTGTGAACGATCTATCATATCTCATATCTCCACTCTAAGCCTACCTGAGAGCCCATCAGGTTCTCCCAAAACTCCTATCATATGATACCTTTTTCGAGGACCACTCCCAACACTCTGGGTAAAAAAAAGCTTCAACTACCCACAGCCCCCGAAACTTTAGGCAAAAAAGAGGCTTGAGCCCGAAGCACAAGGACAAATATAAAAATCAATTCCTCCATCTCTCCTTCACCGCCAGCTCTCTACAGCTTCGCACCTATCTACCCACCTACTCCAATAAAAATTTTGAGAAAAAAACACCGAATAAAAATGACCACCGAGTCTCCAACAAAAGAGACCGACGCAAGCCCGAATCGCCGCCTCAATGCCCTCCTTGCAAGAGCCAAACGACAGCTCGGCCCCTTGAACGAGACTCAGCAGCCTAGAACCACCTCAGCCTCCAGCGCGCCAATGTACGCTTCCACCGGTCGTAAGCTCGAGGAGCTTGAGGGGGAAATTATCAAGGAGCAATACAAGCTCATTGACGCCCAGGAAAAGTGTATTGAGAAGCAGAGGGCCAAAATCGATGCTCAGAAGGCAATTATCGAGGATCTGAGGAAGCAGATTGGGGATTGTGAGTAATAGGAGGGGTAAGGGAAGAAAGTGGGGTTGGGTATGGATCGGGATTGGAGAGGGGTTCGGTTTCAGCAGGTTTTCTGTGTCAAATTTTATCAGAACCACCACTATTCTTATTCTTGCTCTAAGCTGGGAACTTGGCATTCACACCCACAAACCCGGAGTATCCGCTAAGGGCTGCGAACAAAAATTGGGCTTCCTTAAAAGTTTCCCATTCATGATTGATCACTCGGTCGGGAGTGCTGGGCGCCCGGCAGGAACCCAATCGGCCATTTGCAAACCCCGCCCCCACCAGCGTGATACCGCATAAGCATTCGCAATACTAGTATGGTATCTCAAATAAGTAAACACATTGAAGGCAATTCCCAAGCAAAGTGAGATCTAGAGATAGCTAGAAAGAAAGAGAGAGAGGAAAAGGTCTCACTAGCTCAGCTTGGATTTCAACAACATCCTAGCAGCATCTATTTTTGGGTGAATAGAGAGGAACTACTCGAGTAGAGGCTGCACAGCGGCTAGAGGAAGGAGGATGCCTTTGAGAGAGAAGCGAAGGTGATATGATACATTGGTAGCACATTACCGCGAGCACGCGGTTCTTGAGCTCCTAGAAATCGGAGCAATATGGATATTAGTGTAGGAACGGAAGATATACGCTTAGCCACACACAGGGCAGGAATCTAAGGGATTTTTTTTATCGCTAGTCAAGCAGCGAAGATTGTCAGATGTATGAGCAAAAGGAAATAAGGGGGTGTTTGGCGTACCATGATTTGATTTCAAAATCAGGTCTCGGCAATTTTAACTCAAATAACAACTTGTAAAACAGGGTCGGATTAGGTATAACATTTGTAATAATGTGTGTTAAAATTGCCAAGACCTGTTTTCGAAATCCAAATCACGGTACGCCAAACACCCCCTAAGTGATTTCCTGTGATGGAAAAAAAATAACAGTTTTTTTTTCATTGGTCTTCTCTAAGGGCCCTCCGGAAGAAGGTAAACTTAGGACTCATTCTCACCCATCGCCCCCCAATTTTTAGGGGGCGATGGATTATAGGTGTGTGGGTGTAGGCTACAAGTATCGGACGCCTGTAGAGTAACAAGCATGAAATAACACAAGGGCCTTATGACAGCAAATTCATGACTTGGGCTAATCTCGTTCAGGGTGCAGTGTCGGACCCCCAAGCCGGACGACATAGATTTGATCCGGAGCCCACTACTTATACAATACAGAGACAACCGTCGACTTACGTATACCATACTTAGTAGATTTCTCCTCCACGTAATCTGTTCATGATATTGTATAGTATATGGAGGGAGGTCGCTCCCATAGGACCCTTGGTGAGATTTTCGAGTGATGGATTGTGATTATTAGAAATGAATATGGGTGGACGGATTTGGTTAATAACATTATAGTACTGAAGGTGCACAAATTGGAGAGGCGGAGGATGTGCCTCTTAGCTCGGTGAACCTTATTCTGCCCACTGATTTTGAATTTGATCAGAGGGGGGTTATTTCCCACTCTCGAGCCTGGCCTGCTGCTGCCTGACTGCACAACTGGGAATCGCCACTCTACCCCTCCTCGTATCAGCCCGCCGTGCTCCTCACTGATTCCCTGTCAAGCAGGATTATGTAGGACCATAGAAGGAGAGCTTGGGCGTGAGAAGGAATTGATGGCAACACTCTAACAGCAGCTCGCTCGTAGGCCAATGGCGAGCAGTCGGTGCAGTGGAATTGCGCGGTGCACACAGGAGGAAAGCACGGTGTGGTGTTCGACGTCGTTGATTGATCGCACATGCCACAGCTAGCTACCAAGGAGCTCAAAGCTAAAGTAGTCTACAGGTAGATAGCGCACTCGACACACAAAACAGGAAAGCCCACACAACGGGGAAAAACCCCACTAAACAACCGTCGCGGCATCTACACTAGTCATGCCCTAAACTAACCATCATACCCAACCTAATCACCATCAGATGGGATTCCATCTATCAGGAATGACTACCAGCTCCAACCCTTTTTCCCTCAGGTTCACCGGATTCGCTGATTTTTTTGGTTCAGGGGATCTGCCGTTATATGGTACTGTACATCACAGGATTTGAGATTTCTGCCTTGTATGGTTGTTTGGGTACTGTTGCGATAGGCTGGAATTGTTTGACTCCATGCTTTGATTCTTGACTGAGTAAGCATTCATGTGAGCAGTCTGACGGGGCCGATAGGGATTATTGTCAAGTTTGGTCGGGTTGGCAGGCCACGGCACCTTTGATCGGTTTAATGGGAAGCCGGCCTCCTCATGCTGTGCTGGTCGGTACTGAAGCATTATATCAAGCAAGGAAGTTGATCGGTAGTTGATTTTAAGACATTAGACTGTTCTGCCCTCGCTACCCGTACAGTAACTTCTAATGCATATTACGGTACCGTTAGTTACATATCATGATCGATAGGGTGGAATACCGGTACAGTACTCGAGTACTCGAGTACCGTACAGTAAGTTAAAGTTAAGAGTAGGTGTCATTCCCGAATATTTGCGTCGTGCTCAGGTGAACGCGGGCCGCTATCCTCAGCCTGCGCGCCTTCTTTGAAGCAACGATTTGTTCCCCCAAGTTCCCTCCAAGATGCGTTTACAACCACAATCAGACATGGCTTCACGTACAACTTTTCTTCTTTTTTTCGTGAACCTTTTATTCGTGTCATGGGTTTCTGCTGCTCCGTTGATTGGCGGGCGAGTTCTCGCTGTTTTAGAGGAGCAGTCCGATAGTGCAAAGTATTCACAGTTTTTAGTGGACCTTAAAGGTAAGGCTCTGGCTAGCTCTCCCGCAATTGTGAATTTGTTTTGCTAAATTAACCGATTCTCTGACTGCAGGGAGAGGGTTTGATGTCAAACTCGAGTCTCCGAAGAAAGACACACTGTCGCTGTTTAAGCACGGAGAAAAGGTTTGGGATCACGTTATTCTGTTTCCACCCAAGTCTAAAGGTGATAACATGCCCCTTTCTTCTAGCTTCCCCAAGCCATTCTGACAAAATTTGAATAGGATACGGGCCTGCCCTTACCCCCCAACAATTGCTTGAGTTCACTAAGCTCGGAGGCAATGTTTTGATCCTCACTTCGCCTTCCAGTATCCCCGAACAGATTCGTGAGCTCGCTCGCGAGCTCGGCATTGGTCTACCTCCAAAGGACTATATTGCTGTTGATCATTTCAACTATGACACCGTTTCCAAATCGGAGAAGCACGACGTTATCTTGGCTAATCGACCCGCCGTTTCTCCTGCTGTCCATAACTACTTTAGCGGAAAGCAGGGCGATTTGATTGCGTTCCGTGGCGCCGGACACACTCTCGGCAACGGACCATTGTTGGTACCTATCCTTACTGCTCCGAGAACCGCCTACGCGTACGATAGCAAAGAGGATTTTGCTTATGCCCAGGATCCCTGGGCAGCTGGTACTCAAATGCAGCTCATCTCGGCCATGCAAGCGAGAAATAATGCTAGAATTACACTTGCCGGAAGTGCTGATATGTTCTCCAATGAATTCTTCGAAATGAAGGTCCAGAGGCCTGGATCAGTGGAATCACGGAAGACTGCCAACAAGGAGTTTTGCAGAGACGTTGCCGCTTGGACCTTCGGGGAGAAGGGTATCGTCAAGGTTAATGCTATAAGGCACTATCTGTCTAATGAGCCCGATTCTCCTGTCAATCCAAATATGTACAGGATCAAGAACGATGCGGTATGTGCAGGTTGTGGTTTATATTATGGAACCATGTCGCTAACTGTTTTACAGACTTTTGAAATCGAGCTTTCTGAGTACGACACCGACCGCTGGGTTCCCTTCAAGGTTCCCTCGGGCGACAGCCTTCAACTTGAGTTCACCATGCTTGATCCCTACTACCGGATCCCACTTTTTCCTGCATCTACTTCATCTAACTATACTACCTACGCCACTTCTTTCAAAATTCCGGACCAACATGGTGTTTTTGCTTTCAGAGTGAACTACAAGCGCCCATACATCACCTACGTTGATGAAAAGTATAGTGTCACTGTTAGGCACTTTGCGCATGACGAGTATACCAGGAGTTGGGATATTAGTGGCGCCTGGGTCTGGATTGCCGGCATTGCGGTAACTATCACTGGGTGGATTGGATTCTGCGCTTTATGGCTCTGGAGCGCACCGGCTGCTATCAAGGCGGGGTTGAAAAAGACGGAATAAAGTGTTGCGTTTTTTTTATGAGGATTTTTCTTTTTC